CTGAATATCCTCATTAACATATGAATTAGGAAGCCAATCCCCACGAACATGATTAGAGCTGACCTGAGTGTGAAAGTTTTTTCTCTATATTATGTATATTATATATTGTATATGTTTATTATGATATTGAGCCAAAAGTTTGAACAGAAACCAGAGTGTGTTTTTAGAGTGATTAACACAATCTCAGTGTTGTTACATTTGCCTAAGTTCTTGTAGTATTATTTTTTTTTAAATGTAAATAGTTACCACTTGATATTGCCAGTTTATGTTTTTCTACATATTAAGATGTGTGGGTCGAGGTGCATTGTTGGTAGCATTAGGGAAGTGCATTGTAAAGCACCAATGTGTGTTAGAATGTGTTATCGCTGCATGTTCCCAATGCATTTTTAAATCATTTTTTGGAGTGGATATCATTTTTAAACATGTCACATTGCATTGACTTTTATAGGCCTTCTAATTAACCTAAACACAGAGAAAATGGGCATGCCATATTTTTTAAGACTCATTCCAATGTAGCATTAGGATTGACACACACACTATCTATTATAGGGAGCACACACACCCAGTCTACATCATTAACGGTCATTTTCAGTTCTTCCATTAAATCATCCCAAATAGTTATTCACTTTTGTATCACTTGTTCTTCCTACTAGATTGTAAGATCTCACAAGCAAGGCCCTCCTACCTCCTGTACTGACATTGTATTGTCTTCCTCAGTTTTGTAAAGTGCTGTGCAAACTCTTGGCACTACATAAATCCTGAATAATAATACTAATAATAATTATTATTAGTATTATTCGTGTATATACCAATGTCTCATGACAGGAGCTTCATTAAGTACAATACAATATATGTTGGCATTCAATATAAAGTGTACACTGACGTATGGTTGATGCATTGTTATTGATTTTAGTGAAAAACACATGGATGGTAAATCAGCCCTTAAGGCCAAACTAAAACACTAATAAAAAAAATGCTAGCAGATAGGTTTTAATGGCAGACTTGACTTTTATTCCTCTGGCTCTTCTGCATGATAGGTCTTCCACTGACTATTAGATTTGTTTTCCTAATTGTAAAGAGTGGATCACTGCACAATCTTCATACCTGGCCAGCTGATAGCGAAGACTAAAGACTCTGGGTGACTCTGAAGATGGCAATGGAACAGCTAGGAGGAGGACACTGTGCAATGTTTAACTTGCTGTATATACTGTGCATAGTTGTGCATTATGGCAGGAACCTCGGGGACCCTTTTTTGATGGTTCCACTTTATGCTTAAAGGAGAACTATGGGGTTAGGGCTTTTCCCCATAGTTCTCCTAAGGGTAACGCGAGGACACACACTAGCGTCCTCCCATCACCCAAAGCTACAGCTAGAGGTATACTGAGACGCCACAACCGGGACAGATCCCAACTTTACTGTCGAGATCCACCCAGCTGTGTGAGTGACAGCTGGCTCTGCCTATCTAGAGGCAAGTCCCGCTGTACCCGCCCCCTCCCCTGTCCGTTCCGCCAGTCAGTGCTGGAGGTTCGGCCATGGGAGGGGGGGGGGATCCCTGCAGGGAGCCGTGAGTGACAGTCTCAGCTCACTGCAGGGATAGATCGAGAAGTGAGAGAGTCTCGATCTACTGTTTGTATTATTCAATTTAGATTCAAGTAAAACAAATTAAAAGCTAACATAGAATTTGCCATTTTAAAATTAGTCTGATAGGAAGTTTCATTTTAAAACTTTGTTTTACCTGTCTGAGTTTCAGCATGTTTAATCCCATAATGTATTCACTAGAAAATCTTTACAAATGCAAATTAACCAGAACAATTGGTAGTGATTTGTATAACATTTACATGATAACTCAGCCAATCAAATAAGCCACCATTGTCTTCCTTCCCCGCCCACCTTCCTTGTATAAAGTGGGCCTCTCCCTTCTCTCATCAGTGACTTTTAGAGATTCAGGTATTCTCATCTACTACATCACAGCTGAAGATCTGGAGATAGTGTCTTGGGTTGATCTTTAGGGGCACAGAATATTAGAAGAAAGACTTTGAATCCATCACAGAAGAATCCCCCACCACATTAAGGTAAGATAAGTTTCATCTAAACAATCAATGTATCATTATTGCTTTATAATTCTGAATAATTATCCTGCAGGGGATTAATGAGGTGTATGTAATAAATTATTTAAAACCTATAAAATATTGTCAAAGGAGTGGGTGGAGGTTCAGGAGAGAATAATATGTAATAAAAAGATCAACCATATGAACGAATTGCTTATAATACACGTGCAATAAAATCAGTAATATGTACAGACTTCAATAAGAAACATTCTCTTTGTATTATATTAAACAAAGTTGACTGAACTGTGTTGAGTTCTTTGCCACGGAGGACTTTCTCTTGCCAAAACTGGAGTACAACATTTTACATCATTATCTCACTGGGCATTCCCTACAATTAATGTCACAAAGTCTGTCCGGGTGGTTTGAGGTCTTGCTGGAAACATAAAGATGACATTGAGAACATGCCTCCAAACTTTTAGGTGCCTAAAAAGAGGATGACTCAGATTTACCATTGGGTATTTGAAAAAAAAAACATGGTGTCACTCAAAGTTAAACTGGCTCATTCTAGGACTGAGCTGCAATTATAGGGAAGTGTCACTAATATCTTTTGATAACCTTTAGTATGGCAGCTGCAGGCTTGCACTTGGGTACAACAGATGTGGGAACCATTTTCTCATATGTTGCATGCTAGTGCTGATTAAGATTACACTACCTTACTTGAGTTCTGTGTTGATACCCCTGACAATATATAATGAATCTGTGAGAAAGTATTCAGCATAGTTTGATCGTCAACAAGAAAGCATAGTAACTCCTGCAGTTCATCATTTTGGTGTGCCTGGCAGGAATATGAAGGTCTGGTGCTGAGAGCAGATATACCTTTCCATCAATATTGGGGGGATCATCCAGACTAGTGTTATAGACTTAGATGAGTATGTATTTTAAATAAAAGAAACCATTTTTTTTGGTCTTAGACACATATTAGGGTGTTTTCAAGCAAATGACCTTTGTGTTTACAAGTCACTGGATTTTCTCTTTAAACTTTCTGGTGGCAGGTTTAGACAAGAATCCCTAGTGGCCACTGTGTGTATGATCCCGAAACCAAATTCAGATGATGCCAACTGGTCTAATTTTAGACCAATATCCCTTCTGAATGTTGATATTAAAATCCTGGCTAAAATTCTTGCGACCAGATTAAATACAATTATAGGTGACCTTGTTCACAAAGATCAGGTAGGCTTTATGCCACGCCGTCAAGCTGGAGATAATGTATGCAGAACTTGTCTTTTGATAGACGTTGTCAGAAAACATAATATCCCATTAATACTCTTATCATTAGACATGCATAAGGTGTTTGATTCTTTGTCTTGGTCCTACCTATTTGACATACTTGGTCGCTGGGGGTTTCGGAAAATAATTCTGCACCTGGATTCCCACGCTCTATTCAGAACCTGTGGCATCAGTGAAATATGCTACCTACAAAACAGCACCTTTTCATATTCAAAGGGGGACACGCCAGGGATGCCCCTTGTCTCCCCTCTTATTTGCCTTAGCTATTGAACCCCTAGCTGTGCTCATCCGTGCATATCCCGACATCACAGGTATTTCAGTAGCAGGACAACACACCCTTTGTCTCTTCCCTGATGACATTTTGCTCTATATCTCCACACCACACATCTCTCCCCAATCTAATGTCACTTTTAACCACATTTAAGGCCCTTTCAGGACTGTCCATCAATCCTACTAAATCCAAAATACTTATTTCCTTACCGACCCACCCACCTTATACTGCCATTAGAGACTAAGTTCCCCTTTCAGTGGGAATCTACCTTTCTCTCCTACCTTGGAATAAACCTTACCCCAGCTTTTCCTACCCTATATGCTTCAAATTATCCAACACTGACCACTAAGCTTTCCAATATGTTAAACATATCCCCTCTCCTGGCTGGGGAAAATAGCCATCAAAATGACAGTTCTCCCAAAACTTTTACACCCCTTTCGCGTCCCCTCAGTCCCAATTACATCCTATATCTTGAGGGTATTACAAAATACGATCTTCAAATGTATATGGTCTAACAAGAAATTGCGTATTTCCAGGTCAGTCATGTACCAAGGTAGGTCCTCAGGTGACTTGGGAGTCCCAAATCTCCATAAAATACTTTCATGCTGTGCAAATTGCTGCCATTTCCAAATACAATGCTACTGGAGAAACACCTTTTTATGGATCTCCCTAGAGGCGATGAATTGTGACCCCACAGCCATCGATAATTTCCTATGGATACGGCCTGGTAATAAATCCTTTATCAATCACCCGGCACTCCCTCAAGATATGGGACTAAGTGAAATATTCCAGTGGTCTTATTTCGACATACCTTCCCCTATTATCCTTTCTCCAGAATCATTCCTTCCTCCCGGGCCTTGAGTCCCCCTCCTCTTTTTGACTTTGGGCCGCAAAACAAATAGCGCTTCTACACAAACTAACTAATGACCAGGAAGTTACCCCCTATCTTACAATCTAAATATAACTTGCCCTCCAACTAAATATTTAGACACCTCCAAATCAAACACTTTATTCAATCGCAAATCAAATTCCCAATAGCCTCTTCTCAAATGACACCCTTCAAAAGAATTTGCAATCATGACGCTCCAGGTCTAATTTCACAACAATATTCCTCCTTAATAACTGACACAGGCCCACCTCAACATGTGTACATGGTCCGCTGGCACACAAACCTCAACCTCACGCTTGACTAGGACACCTGGTCCCAAATATGGGAAAGCACAAAGTCATGCTCCAAAAATGCATTGATCCTAGAAGCTAATTACAAAGTGCCCCTCCGATGGTAGAGTGCACGTCCAACTGGCTCACTGTGTGCCAGCCCATGACTGCCTCTGCACCAGGGGTTGCCGTGAAAGTGGTACGTATCTCCACATATGGTTGTTGTGCCCGGTAGTTGCCACATTCTGGCGTAAGGTGTATAAGATCATCTCTATACTAATGAATAGACATATACCACCCACCCCCCAGGAAGCTCTTCTCAATGTAAGACCAGTAGGCCTCACTACCTTACAATTTAAACTAATGCTACATGTATTATCAGCGGCCAAACGTACAATATCTAGGGTGTGGATGTCAGATTCCCTATCCATCTCAGAAGTTAGGAATAAAATCCACTGGACGTTCTACAATGCAAAACTTTCAGCCCGACTCCAAGATTGTATGCTTAAACTTGAAAAACTCTGGAAACTATCATGGTTTACTCATTTTCTTCCCCCGTCGTTTGATCAACAACTACTCACCCTCTGACACCAGCTCTCTCCAAATTCACACTCGCCTTATTCGGGTCTCCATCCACAAATTGAAAATAGGTGTTCTTCCTACCCCTACCTGTCCCTCTCCTTCCCACTCACAGTCTTCCCCTTTCCTTTTCTCTTTCCCCTATTTACCTATTGGTCCTGCTGCTGTTATTTTAATATGTCTACTAGACTGAAACCTATTGATGTCTCCTTTCCATATTTGACCATTATGCAGTTTGTTACCTTGATAGCTGACCCATGCCTGTTAATTTTGTCACAATATCACATGCTATTCTGTGCCACTACTAGACATGTATGTATCGATGCTACATTATTTTTTGAATTTTTTTTAAAACCTAATACATGTTGAAAGGAAAAAAATCCAAAATTCCAACAGTTTCTCTTTATGATTGTGTTCTTCCCTCTAAACAATGTAACATGTTTTATTGTATTGCTCACCAGGACATCATGGCCGCCGGTCCCCAAGAAGTGGATGATCTTCTGGATGGTCTTGTCTCCTTCTCCTCACATGGGCTGCAGCAGATAGACTTAAAGGAGTATTTCCACATAATCAAGGAGCTTGGAAAAGGTGGTTATGGAAAAGTGTTGTTGGTGAAGGACATAAAAACAGGTCAGTGAATTATTTCTAAGCACAATTTCAATAACCTACTGCAAAGATGTGTGTATATGCATGTTCACTTGACGTAGCAAGGTATTTAGCCTTTTACGGGGTGGCCACTAATTGTAGACTTAAGTGACATTACACTCTTTGTGTATCACTCGGCTGTAGATCCTCCAATCATCTCTGAATTGGTGCTGACACTGTCCTTCCTTCTGGAGGGGGGGGGGGGGTATTTTTGTTCCCCATGGTCTCTGTGTGTGTTGTAAAGTAGTCACCGCTCCAAGCTCATTCATGTGATGGGCTACAATCTCAATACAAATTAGTAACCTAAATGTGAGATTGTAGCCCATTACGGGAACAAGCTTGGAACGGTGAATTGTAGCATACACTAGTTAAAATGTTGCCACCTTTGCTGTCATTGGTGATAAAGCTTTCCTGTACTAATGAATTGTGTACAGGAAAACATTCACCACATTGCAAGCAAAGGTGGAAACATTTTAACTAGGAAAACAAACATTCTCCCGAATGCAAGCAAAGGTGGGCACATTTTAACTAGCGCTACAATTCACTACCCCAAGCTCGCTCCCGTAATGGACTACAATCTCGCATTTAGTTTAACAATTTGTATTGATATTGTAGTCCATCACAGGAGTGAGCTTGGTCTCTATTCTGCATAATGGCTCCACCTCCCGTCTGCAAATATTCAAATGTAATATTTCCTATTTAACAGATCAGTTACACAGAAAATAAACTGTTTTCAGTATATTGAATACTTATTATACACAGACATATGATCATTATCTTTAAAGACATACTGGTAATACATATTAATAATCTTATATGGAACATACTATATTTTTAGTCTGGTAGCAGAAGATCTTCCTAAAACTTTTCAGATAAAAAAAATGAAATCACAAGCTGATAATTCCCAGTTCTTGATCTAAATCAAATTAACATTTTGTTTTCACAGGTCAAAGAATGGCAATGAAGGTCCTGGATAAAGTTAGGACCAGTCGGCGATCTTTCCTTCTGGAGTTCAGCATGGCGTTCTTTCTTTCGTCTCATCCCAATATCATTGGATGTAATGGCACCGCCTTCACGACAAATGACTACTTTGTATTTGCCTTAGAACTGGCACCTGCTGGTGATCTGCTCTCTCTGATTTTACCAGAGGTAAGTATTCTAATGTATTAAGATTAGCCCAAACTTTCTTGCATTTTAAGTCTTATGACTTCCCATACTATTTTATATCGTGTTTTGCTTATTTATATATTTATATTTCTAGGTGTGAATTCCAGAAGATGCAGTAAAGCATCTATTGTATTTTTTATATATGTAGTTATATTTAAGTATTTTATCTTTTTTAGGTGGGAATTCCAGAAGATGCAGCAAAGAGGTGTGCGGTGCAGATCTCCAGTGCTCTCGAATTCATAGCAGAGAAAGGACTGGTCCACATGGATATAAAGCCAGAAAATGTGTTGGTGTTCGACCAAGAGTGTCGCTGTGTCAAGCTCACAGACTTTGGCCTTGCTCGGGCCAAAGGGGCAGTGATTAGAGCAAAGGCAGGCAGTGTCTCCTACATGGCTCCAGAAATGTGTGTAATGACTCTTTCGGAAGGGCTGGCTGCAGAGGCCACCCTTGATGTGTGGGCATTTGGAGTCATCATCTACTGCCTACTCACTGGGGAGTTTCCATGGCAGGTGGCCATTTCCGATGATGAAGGATATAAACGTTTTGTTGACTGGCAAACCAATTCACAAGTTGATAATCCTCCTGTGACATGGAGCAAGATTCCCACTGGGATACTAAAGATGTTTAGTGATCTTCTGGCCATTGACCGCAGTAAAAGAAGTCAAACTACAGAAGTCCTGAAGTACATGAGCGAAAGCTGGAAAGAAGAAACACCAGATTCAGCCACAAAACAAGAAGAGGAGAATCTCATACAAACTGGTTCTGCAGTGCAGCCTGGTGAACCCGTGTGTGAATCTTCACACCCGGAAACTGAAAGGAATTCAGACAACTCACAGAGCAATGCCTCGGTCATGTCATCTCTCAGCTCCATGTCCTGCCTTTTGTCCACGGACACTTCTGAATCTCAGTGCGAGATGACTCCACACCCACAGAAGGGCCACGTGCCAGAGACACCGATCATGTATGATGATGAAATGTCTTTCCATGTTGGTGCAGAGGTAGACATTGGATAGATAAGAATCGGTGAGTGACGGCATGTTCTGAAAAAGCAGCAACAATGGACATCTGTCTCAGGTATGTGGCTTTCTTGAGGGAATGAAGGGATCATAAGAGTATAGAAGTGTTTTGTAATAAGTCAACTTCACAATTTAGGGGCAATGTCACACTAGAAAATCTGCACCAATTGTTTCAGTATTACTCTTTTCACCACCATATTTACTATGTATGTTCCATTGTTACTAAAGGCATGCCATCCCTGTATAGTTCATATCCCCGATATTTCCTTATTTAGAGGGAATATTCCATAGAACAGAAACCCTCCTCCCCTCTGCTCTCCGTCGTTGCCCCTTTTGTTGTACGTGTGTTCCGTTGCCCCTCTCCTGAAGTGCATATGTCTTGCAAAAATTTACTATTTAACTGCTAATGTTGTACCAAACTATAAGTGTGTTCTTTGCCTACATGCTTTATGCTCCTCTCCTGCAGTTAGGAGGTATGTCAATGATGGAACTCTTCTTATCCAATCTTTGAGTGCTGAGGATAATCCTTGCATTTAGGAGAATTAAAGTAGAACTAGACTCAAGGGGACCAATACTAAAGGCCTTCAAGCTAACAATTGTTCAGTGTTATCAGTCTAGAGCGGTCAAACCAGTGAGGGATGATCAGGGCCAGATTTACTCTCTCTGCTGCACCAAGGCCAGGTTCGGTTCTGCAATGCACACCCCTAGCCGCTTACACCCCCCCCTCCCCCCCCATGGAGAATGGCAGACAACTTCCCCTCTGTACATTTAGCTCTGCGTAGCGAAAGCTAGAAAACAACTACATGTCCGGCGCCTGGAACTACATGTTCCGGGCATCGGGCGATAGGGATTCCTCACCCCTGCTGCCCCTCTACTCCTTCCTGCCCCGAGGCCGGGCCTTGGTTGGCCTCGTGGGAAATCCGGCCCTGGGGATGGTTGATATAGTTCACTGCCCCTTTGCAATTATTTTATTTTTTGCTATCTAACATTTTAAGGCTGTTCATTTTCTAAATGAGACCGCACACCTATATAGCCAGTCCTATTAACCTTATTTATTAGCATTCCAAAAATTAAAACTGTACAAAAAATTACTGCAGAAAAATGCAGTTATTTTCTAGAGAAGTAATCTTATAGAGCCGATCACATGCAGTTTATCACTATAAATCCCATTTTCATGTTTTGTATTTTGTAGATGATTTTTCTCTAACCCTATTCTTCTACATTTTCCATAGATAACAAGTCTGGACTCCCCGTCAGCAGATAAACGGGACCCCCACCTGGTACATGTGGGTGTAACTTGTACATATATCAGCAGTTCCTCCTCCTGTGCACTAGGTGGGGCTCTTGATGTTTCTCCTGCATCCTTAGGAAAATCTATTTCAGGTCGATGGACATAAAGAAGGTGGGTTTAATTATTGGATTGATTTCAGTATGTTAATGTATATGTGAGTTTTTTGTCTCTGCTATTATAATAGGTTGACAATCTAAATAAAAGTATTTTTTGTTCTTTCTACCCCATGTGCATGGTCTGCAGTTTTTTTATAACTCATGTGTGAATTATACTGTAAAGGCGGGGGGGGGACAGATTTTGGTGCTGGTAATTTCATTTCCCAAATTAGGAAAGTGAACTTAACCTTTAATGCACATTGTGCATGTTAGAGAGCGCTGTTGAGCGGCTATCACAGTATGGCACACAGGGGAATGGGGGCAGCACTCAGTGCTTACACACAATGTCCTGTGCGTTCATTTACTTGCATGTAAATGGCGCGGGTGGCAAGTTCGTTTTTTATTCAAGTTATTTTTCTGTTTCCTTTATCACGTTTTAACAGAGGTGGCTCTCTAATTAGGCACATTAAGGCCCCACACTCGCAAGGGCCTTGTGTCCGCCTAATGCATTACAGGGGACCTTAGCACTGCTGTGCACAGGCAGCATTTGGAGCCCCATCACATCCAAGAGTACATCGCAGCCGCTGAACATCTCATCTCACCATGGGACTAGGGATGCATTAGGGACTCCTATCACCTCCAAAGGGAGCTGTTTGAGGGGGGGAATGTCAGGACCGTACCCACAGACAACTCTCCCCACTGCAGCCTCAGAGATGGTCGGAGATTTCTCCTTATAGTCTGTAATCAGTTGCAGCGATCTGTGTCAGAGGGACGGACAGACGATTATAGGCTGTAACGAGAAACCGGTGACAGTCTGTGAGCTTCCTTCCATTGTGCCGTCTACTCACTGTTCCTGCTGTCATCTGCAATCCTCCCCATTCCAGCAGCTGGCAGCAATAGCCAGCCTGTTATTGGATATTTCAAATTGCAGTAACCAATAACAGGCTAGCTATTGCACCGGCCCACTGCCTGCTGTCAATCAGCACAGGGGGATCTGATGGAGAACTTTCTCCTTCAGGTCCCTCCTGTGCTGATTGACCGCAGACAGTGGGGTGGGTGCAATAGCCAGCCTGTTATTGGCTACTGCAATTTGAAATATCCAATAGCAGGCTGGCAATTGCTCCCAGCAATAAAGTTTAAAAAAAAGTTAAAAACTAAAATAATAAATATATTTTAAAAAAAGTGAAATAAACTACAATGTAAAAAGTTAAATAGATAAACAGTAGGGCTGTGGAAATTAAAGATTAATTTCTCGATTATCGTTAACTTTTTGATCGATTAAAATTATTTTGATCGCTAATGAAAACATGGGGAGGCCATGTGGAGGGTATTGTCTTTACATTAGTTATATAATTGTGTAATAATGGAGATGTTTTCATGACACATTTTTCCAATCTAGCTTTGATTTTGGACTTCTGCATCTTCCCCCTTGCTGATCTCCCCCCGCAGTGCGGATGTGATGTAATACACATCACTTCCGCATTCACCTGTCCGTCCTCTGGCTGCTATAGCCAGAGAGAAGAAGCTGGTGAAGCAGATCTGTGCTTAATCAGCTTCTTTTGGGGTCCCCAGGTGACATTAGGGGGGGTCTTAGAGACCCCTAATGTCTCATAAAGAGGACCTGTCAGTGTGCCTGTGCTATGACATAGGGGGGTTGTTATCCCCCTATGTGATGGCAATAACATTAAGTGTAAAAAAGTTAAAAAAATAAAAAGGTCATATGTAATGTAAAACAAACCCCCCAAAAATGTTTAAGTCCCCCACCCCCACATGTACGCATATTTAAAAGTAATTATGTGTCAAAAGCGACAATTGCGGTACACATGTTACATACTGCCACGGACGTTGCAGTGGGAGCAATAATTTTAGGGCCATCAATCACTAACACTAAACTGATGAGCGGTACAAGCTTGTAAATCATTGCCTATGGCCAATTTTGGGTATTGTCATTTTTTGAGGTTCCACGGGTGCGCACATTTTTAAGGCTTGACATGTTTGGTGTCTATTTACACGATGTGACCCCGTCTTTTATATTCTACAAAAAAAAAATGGGTATTATCAAATGTTTCATAATTTAATATAGAGGAAACCGTTTTTTTTTTCTTCAATTTACGGTAATTTTGCCTTAGTATAGTACAAAATAAACCCCCCCAGTGGTGATTTAAATACCACCAAAAGAAAGCTCTATCTGTCCCCAAAAATGGTATACAATTAATTTCAGTACAGCGTTGTATGACAGAATAAATGTCGGTCAAAGTACTGCAGCGCTGGATACTGAAACATGACCTGGACAGGAAGGGGGTGTAACACCGCGGACTTTAAGTGGTTAAGATGAGAGTTCAGAAAGGACCATTATAAAACTACCCACAAAGTAATCTACAGGACAATCAGAATATATTAATACACAACATAAAACCAGGCCAGGCTGAAGTATTGGTACTGATCATGCGATGTTTGTGACGGTGGGGAGCACAGTTGTGTTTCTGTGGCACAGAAGTGTTAATTAATTGGGTGTGTTCCCGAGAGAAATCAATGTAATCACAACAGTCTCTTCTGCTAATGTCACAGGAGGATTCAGTATATGCAGAGTGCGTTTCTTCAACACATGTTGATACTTTTTTTTTTCTGCGACACAATGGGGCCAATTAAAAAGTTACAAACTTTTCTGGCATTGGGAAAACATAAACATGCTGATAATGATATAGGTATAGATACATATTGTACTCTGAAATATGAAGGTGTCTCTGTCTGACCAGCTATGTTGGGGTCTTATGCTGGGCACACACCTTACAACCCTTGCCAGACTTTTGTCTTGCGATGGTTGTAAGGTCTTGGCCAGGTACTTGCCCATCTTGGACATGCAGATCGTACTTGCGATGATTGCAAGCCCGCCCTCCTGAGGTTAGATGACCGCAAAGCCGAACGGGCAGTGTGCGCTTGCGCACACCGGCCCGCCCGGCTTTTATCTATCGAACATGCTACACACCCGCCGAACATCGTACGATGCTCGGCGGGTTTTCAAAAATGTTTGCAAGTTAAGTCGTGCGACCTTACAGTAGTAAAGGTCGCACGGCTTCCAAACACCTTACGATAATTGTACAATCGCGGGATTTCCTGCGATTATCGTACAATTATCGTAAGGTGTGTGGGCACCCTCAGGCATTTATCTATGTAGATAGGTATATACCCTGACAAGTGGACAGACTCAATACATTGTGTTTATCCTTGCATAGTTACATAGTATTTGAGGTTGAATAAATACATATGCCCATCAAGTCCAACCTATTTTAAAAGACTTTTTTGTGGCTTTGCCACCTGGCACTGGGCTTCTGCTTTTCTTCTCTGACGCCTTCCCGTCATCATAGACGTCCGCCTTCTCATCCTCTTCCTCCGGTCCGGGGTCTCTTCCCCCCGCCAGGTCCCCGGGGTTCCCCGCCGCCTCTCTTTGCCGTCCTGTCTCTCCCCCTAATTTATGTATTTGACCTGCTATCCACGTACCTGAGGCTGAGACCGGAAGGTCTCTTGCGTTTCGTGTCCTGCGACCCCTCTGGAGTTGGGAACGGGAGGGCGCAGGGCAACGAGGAGCACGAGGGCCGGAGATAGACACAGTG